GCCTATTCCGTCATTATGTTAAATGTATTTACTAAACTGGAAACTAAAACACTTAAAATTGTGTAGCCTACTTAAAAAAAAAATCTTCGTAGCTTCCTTAAAATCCTGTGTAGCCTACCAAAGTTATGTGTAGCTTCCCTAAAATTCTTTGTAGCTTTCTTGAAATTCTGTCTTGCTTCCTAAAATTCTATAGACTCCCAAAATTGTGTAGCCTCTTAAAATTCTATATAGCCTCCTTAAAATTGAGTAGCCTCCCTAAAATTGTGTAGCTTCATTTAAAATATATGTAACCTCCGAAATAACATCATAGTTTGTGTAAATACTTATAGGCCTATCTATTATATGCATCTAAGTTAATTCTAATTCAATTAGGAACTCTAATCATATTTTGACTCGTCTTAGGAACAGTGATTTATGAAACATTTATATATAACCCAGTGTTTGGGTTCTACCATCCACAGGATACACATAGGGTGCACAATACACGAGTGGTTGATTATACTGGAATTATTAGACTTTATGGTTATGCTTGAATTATTATACTTTATTATTAAGCTTGAATTATTATACTTTAAGAGCATGGCGAGATTTTCGCGGGTTCACAGTAGTGTTGTTTTGAAAATCACGTTTTTTTATCGGGAGTTGAAAGAAATGTTAGGTTAGGCTACGCTAGCCTAAGCTAGGCTAGCCTAGGCTAGGCTAGGCTCGGTGTGAGGACCTGTTTGCTGCTTGAATTAGAAATTATTTAACATAATTAATGTAAGCAACACAAGCCTAGTCTTACCGCACTTAATAAGGCGAGTTACTTCTCCCAATGAAAAAATAAAACGCTAATAAAGTTTCTGATATCGAAATCCTTTTGACCCCCTTTTATGCTTAGATGGGAGAGAATGCAATAACCAGCCGGTTATTAAATGCACTCGTTTAAGAAGCAACTTTAGCGGCAAAATTGACTTCAATCCTGAATACAAGTAGCAAAGATATTTGAAATTGTGCAATTAATTTAATTAATCACCACGATTTGTTGAAACAAACGCATCCCCCACACTGGAAGCCGGTAAATAAATAATACCAGTTTGGTATAATTCGACAATATTTAAAAAAATACATCTGCGACTAACTTTGAGTGCCGTAGTGGTGTTGTCGAAGGGTACAACGTACAAGGAGAAAGACGGCAACAGCGACGACTGTAGTGACCAAAGCTGCTGCCACAGCCTCCACAACCATGGCAGACACCACACCAGCCAACACTGAACCTGCCCCACACACACCTACCAGCCCTCCGTGGCCTTCAAGAGGTGGTAGAGGTGTAGGCGGGGCAGTGAGACGCAGTCACCCACACCTGCTGACTAATTCAGTCTAGGCCACATTATTTTTCGTATTCCTGGAGAACCGTTCTGTTGTAGCTAGGATAACACGCTACTGTACCTAGGATAACACGCTCTGATATAGCTAGGATATCCGTCAAACTATGGTCATATTATTCGACCTTGTTGGCCAGACCACACACTAGAAAGTGAAGGGACGACGACGTTTCGGTTCGTCCTGGACCATTCTCAAGTCGCCACAATCGACTTGAGAATGGTCCAGGACGGACCGAAACGTCGTCGTCCCTTCACCTTCTAGTGTGTGGTCTGGTCAACATACTTCAGCCACGTTATTGTGACTCATCGCCTGCACATGGATATCCGACCTTGATTGATGGTTGCCCTGTTGTGAATAATCCACAGAAGTATGTGTAGATATCCTAACTCCTATAGTATGATGTGTCGTGGGTATTTGATAAGTAACAATGGTCATTTGCACTGTTAAGAGCCACAGTGGTGAGACCCTACTGTAGCATATGGCTACTGCCCACAGGATGGGTAAACTTTCGAAACTAGCCACAAGTAAACTCACTGGATGGGTGTGGGGGACATAGTAAACTAATTCAACACTTGTATTCCCTGCTCGTTTTCACTTCCCATATTGGGTTCATAGCTTAGAATTTGTCTTATCCTAATTTGTCTTGGAATATAAAAACACACATGATAATTGTGGTATTTTCTTTCTAAAATATGATTTTTCAACGTTGTCACTCAACTATTCAACATTTATATAACATTTGTGTGAACTAAGTTCTCTGCAATGATGTTTAATCCAATCTATCTCATAAAGTCATATTCTCCAGGCTATCTTTCCTCACCTATGTTGTTTTAGATTCAGCTACTGGGAACAAAACGTTCCAAGTAGCACGGGCTATGGTGAGCCCGTAGTAGACTTACCAAGTGTACTGTTGTCCGTCTTGCTTTATTCACCTCACGAATTACACGCATACAACCTGCCTTATTAATTACAGGTATTCTTTATTCACCTCAAGTATATGTATTAGCCTCAGTAATGACATGTATACACCTTCACCTCAGTAATTACAGGTATGGGAGGCAAGGTAATTAGCCAGAGAAAGCATTAAGCCACGGTGACTATAACACTTGGAAGGTATATGAGAGCGGCACAAAGGAACGCTGCCCAACAGCTTCCACCACCGGGGATTGAACTCCGACCCTGCAAGATACCGACCCTTCACCATAACGACCAGTCCAAGTGGACACTATGAACCAAGAAAGCACATCCAGAACCCAATGGTAGGCCTAATAGCTGAGTGGGCAGCGCTTCGGATTCGTAGTCCTAAAGTTCCGGGTTCGATCCCCGGTGGAGGCGGAGACAAACGGGCAAAAAGTTTCTTTCACCCTATGCCCCTGTTACCTAGCAGTAAAATAGGTACCTGGGAGTTAGTCAGCTGTCACGGGCTGCTTCCTGGGGGTGGAGGCCTGGTCGAGGACCGGGCCGCGGGGACACTAAAGCCCCGAAATCATCTCAAGATAACCTCAAGATAACCACATCCTCTACTTCCCCATCTTCAACACTACACATATTTCATCTAACTCTACACATAAAAAAAGCAGGAAATCTTGAAAAATACAATTCCACAAAAACGTAAAAACCTGGACAAGATAACAATGGCGACTCGTAGGTGAACACAGTATTACACGGTGAGGAGCGGGAGAGGCGGCCCCGGGGGGCAGAGTGCTGCCACCACCACCACAGCTCCACTAAGGGAAAACCATTTTGCTTCCCTCTTCAATACCTCCTGTGTTATCTGACGTGCCACGAGTGGGAACATTTTCTTCCTGGCGTGTCTCCATGATGTCCCAAGACTGTGGTGGGAAGGTGGGCAGCTGCAGACTGTGGTGGGCAGGTGGGCAGCTCCAGACTGTGGTGGGCAGCCCTAGCCTGTGGTGGGCAGGTGGGCAGCTCCAGACTGTGGTGGGCAGCCCTAGCCTGTGGTGGGTAGGTGGGCAGCTCCAGACTGTGGTAGACAGGTGGGCAGCCCATGTCAGGCTAGTCCTAGAATAAGCACCGCGCCTCACTTTGTGAAATACAAGAGGCTCTAATGTCCAAAGCCTGGCTACATGAACGGTACAAGTAATTAAGACACAAACTTAGACACTTAACCCACACATCTGAAAATAAAGCGACGTTTCTGTCATTCCTGGACCATCATCAAACATTGTGAAGACACATTAACGTAAGGAAGCCTAATCTAACAACACTAGAAGAAAGACCAGAGGAGATATGATCCTAATGTACAAAATACTGTGGGGGGGATGGACGAAATGGGCAGTGATAGCCTGTTTCAACTGCTGGAAAATAAAACGAGGAGGCAGATGTGGAAGTTGTAAGCTCGAGTTAAGAGACGTAAGGAACTACTAATGTTCAGTAAGAAGGCCTGGTCGACGACCGGGCCGCGGGGACACTAAGCCCCGGAAGCACCTCAAGGTAAGGTAGCATGTAAGCAATTGGAAGTTTAGGGAAGAACTAGAATGTTGGAAGGATTAGACGCATCGGATGTTTGATTGCAAGGAGGTGGATATCTTGAGATATCTTGATATGATTTCGGGGCTTAGCGTCCCCGCGGCCCGGTCCTCTACTAGGTGGAGCCCAAGACTTCACACACACACATAAGAGCCCACACACAAACTCGTTCAAAGGTTAAAAGGCGGAAGCCAAGAGGTGGCACTCAACCCCCAACAAGTACATACACAGTGTAGCCAGAGAACAGAGAAAATAAACTGACATTCTGGAGAGGAAACTACCGGAAGTTGAGAGACTCTGACAGACATGCACACCAAGGGTGACCACCCGCACTCAAGGAATTTATTCTCAGGGGAATTGACAGGGTGAACAAAGACAAACTCTTCAGCACGGGTGGGACACGAACAAGGGGACACAGGTGGAAACTTAGTACCCACATGAGCCACAGAGACGTTAGAAAGAATTTTTTTCAGTGTCAGAGTAATTAATAAATGGAATGCATTAGGCAGTGATGTGGTGGATGCTGACTCCATACACAGTTTCAAATATAAATATGATAGAGCCCAATAGGCTCAGGAATCTGTACACCAGTTGACTGACAGTTGAGAGGCGGGACCAAAGAGCCAGAGCTCAACCCCCGCAAGCACAACTAGGTGAATACTCACCCGCACACCAGGGTGTGGGTGGAGCCAGGGTGACTCCACCCACACTACTCACCCTAGGCTCCTCCACCCTCACACCCTTCACAAAGGCAGTCATAAATTGGAACAGTGTGACCAAAAACAAAATTTTCCTCAACAAAAGATTTCTTCAACCAACACAACAGTTCATGTCCATAACAGTCTGGTGAGCCAAATGCATATTATGTCATGACATTACCCAAAGCAAATAATAATAATAGTCAATAGTAATGATAATGTCTTCTCAGAAATATTAATAAAGGACAAATAAATAATAGTGATAAAAAAAACACTTGTCTATTTCTTGGTGTAAATTCCTGACATAAATACAAATTTCACAGGTACAAAAGAGTGGATTTTTATCCTTTAATAATAATAATAATAATAATAATAATAATAATAATAATAATAATAATAATAATAATAATAATAATAATAATAATAATTTACAAGTCCATAATTTACCTGCAGGAATTCGCGAAGTCTTCTTGTTGTGTTCCTCACTCGGACTCTTCATCGGGGAGCACCTGTCCGATTCGTCGGTCTCCTCCCGGATGGCCTGACTTACATCCAGAGAGACGCCCAGGGTGTTCTCGAACGAGTCCGGGGTCATGACATCCGAACACGGGCTGACAACGCTCGCAGTTGCCAATTGGTCCGTACACTTATGAGCGCCGTCGGGCCGTAGAGTTGCACCCTTCACTAAAGCACTTTCACTCGGTGATTTAGTTATGGGAGAGTTACCGAAGGCCGTCTCATCTTTTCTTTTGGCTTCGTCGGGAAGCTTAATACTCGGGATTTCTTGCGGTTTCCTTTTCGACTCGAAGATTTCGATTTTGAATTCGCTGTTGTCCTTTTTCCCAATGGATCTGAGTCTGGGTCTGGTCTTGGGGGAGGAGGGCTTGTGGTCGCAGGTCCTGGTGCTGCCCGAAGGCGGGCCACTGGGAAAAGGAAGACTTTTTGGCACATCGGGTTCTATCTTTTCTTCGTTCTTAGTGTTCCCGTCTTCGAGAGAATCGTTATCGAACTCCGCTTCGTCGTCACTCTCGTCGCCATCGTCACTTCCGGAGGACAAATCTTCGCCCTCACTGTCCTCCGTCAGCTCGCCCTCTTCCTCCTCCTCCAGACACGATAGATCATCGTCAGAATTTTCATCAGTTTGGGTTCCATGATCGGATTCCGCGTTTTCTTTGACAACAACGTCATCGCCGTTTTCTTTAGGGGAGTCGTCATTGGTAAGTTCACTAGCATCTTGGCTCTCAGAGTTCTCGGTGTTTATGATATTAAACGTGTTATTATCCACACTATTTTCTTCACTACACGACACATCGTCCATCTCGCAAGACTCGGCACTCTTGGACGAGAGATGGTTGCACTTGGGCGCCTCGAGATGGTCGCACTCCTCCTCCTCCTCCGTCTTGCAATCCTCGTCTTTCGTGGAATCATTTTTCTCACAGCCGTCGTCTTGGCTGTCACTCACCGCATCTGACTCGCTAATTTTATTATCCACTTTTTGATTAGTTCTCATTTCACGGGCGGTAATGTTTTCTAATTCCTTATTGTCGATGCTTTCTAAGGACGCCTCTTTTTTCACCTTGATGGTAGGGCAGTTGAGGTGGGAGTCACTATGGCCTTGTATTCTGAGCGGCTCCGTGCCCTCCATGCCGCCTAAATGGCTTCGACCATATGAGTTACAGCAGCCTAGCATTCGGCAGTTTTTATGGTATTCACATATCTAAAAATCCCTGTAAGAATCACAGCGTTTTATAGTGTAACGTGGCTGAAGTATGTTGACCAGATCACACACTAGAAAGTGAAGGGACGACGACGACGTTTCGGTCTTGGACCATTCTCAAGTACACGACTTGTATAAGAGCTAAGCCCTCGGCAGCCCTCGGCACTTGACCAACCGTCGACGTGAGGTCAAATGCGAAACTTTTACTGTACATGGAGCCTATATGAGTTTGAATAATTATATATTTAATTCTACTGGGATCCTGTTGGCTACGTTCTCGACTCACACTCAGGGATCACGATTCGATTCACGTGCGGGACAAATGCTGTTGGGCACGTCTGTGATCACCTAATGCCTCTATATATATTGATCTAGCAGCAATAGGTGCCCGGGAGTTAGGCAATTGTTGTGGCGTTGCATCCTGGTGAGGGTCTGACCTTGAGGGCAACCTTAATACCTGCCTAGAGTATATTGGCGCGTGTACTTGTACTGTGTACTCCCTTGTACAGGAAGTACACAAGTTTAGTAGGCGATGAGTCGCAATAACGTGGCTGAAGTATGTTAACCAGACCACACACTAGAAGGTGAAGAGACGACCACGTTTCGGTCCGTCCTGGACCATTCTCAAATCGATCATCGACTTGAGAATGGTCCAGGACGGGCCGAAACGTCGTCGTCCCTTCACCTTCTAGTGTGTGGTCTGGTCAACAATGCTATGTTAGATACAGGTCAAGAAGTACGCATCAAAAGGCAGCTTCCTCCCTTAAGGTGTCAAGCAATTCCCCCTGACCTCTGACACCCAGACGTGACCCTGACATCATCACCACGGGTGAAGGTTTGGTTCACAAATTAGACACCTCGCCCACAGTAATCATTAACAGGAACTGACGCGTGTGTGCGTACATGTGTGACTATACATATATACGTGCGTACTCGTCTCTGAATAGCGCATACATACGTGTGTCTTTATGCTTACTGACTTCTTGTTTAGAGTTGAGCTTCAACTCACAAACAAATCCACAAGGGCCGTGACGAGGGTTCGAACCTACATCTGTGAGCATCCCAGACGCTGCCTTAATCGACTGATTAACGTAGTCTATTAAGGCAGATTCAACTCACAACTTTCCCTGAACTGATGCAATGTTCCGGAGCGTAGTGGAAGCTGCCATAGATATATATGAAGCTGTGTATGGAGTCTAACTCTGAAACACGTCTATGTAGCTGTGACTTGTGTACGCTCATATGTGTGTGTATATATATGTAAGTGAATGAATATACGCATGAGGGCAGAGGCGCCAGCAGAGATTGTGGTGGCCTGGCTACACGGGTCCCAGGCGGCCCTGGCCTCTCGCACTGACACCAGGTTGTTGTTGATTAAAATTCGCTACCTGGAACAAAAAGTTCCAAGTAGCACGGGCTATGGTGAACCCGTAGTCCTAACTTATGGCGCCTGTTGTCTTCTAAATGCTCCCTGGCCCTGGCCCTGCCTCTGGCCCTGCCTCTGGCCCTGCCTCTGGCCCTGCCCCTGGCCCTGGGACTGGCCCCGACACACCCCTGCTTCCCACCGGAACTCTGGCGGGAACTCCTGAAGTGACGGAATACACAACAACTTTCCAGTATTTAATATTACGAGCAGTGTGAGGAGTTAAATTATATTTTAACGCTCCATTAAGCATATAACTTTCAATTCAAAATTGAATATTTATTTTGCTAACAATTTTGTTTAGTTAATATGGGTCTTTGGGGCATATATCAAGAGGTTATATGAATATATGACCCATGCCAGACTGGTGTCACTGATGTGTTAATTGACCACAAGACCTGACTCATGACCTCATTAATGTGTACCACATTATTACAATGGTAACATTGCACCTGATGCCTCTTCTCACCCCCATTGTTGGCACCACTTACGACAGTCTTAGTGGCACATACAATGACTTATGACTAGTCTTACATGACCTTGCTTGGGGGGGGGGGGGTCTGAACCTTTATCTAAGACGTGACCTGCCTTCTGACCCCATTCTTGATGTGGTGGTCTGGGGTCATGACCCCATTCTTGATGTGGTGGTCTGGGGTCATGACCCCATTCTTGATGTGGTGGTCTGGGGTCATGACCCCATTCTTGATGTGGTGGTCTGGGGTCATGACCCCATTCTTGATGTGGTGGTCTGGGGTCATGACCCCATTCTTGATGTGGTGGTCTGGGGTCATGACCCCATTCTTGATGTGGTGGTCTGGGGTCATGACCCCATTCTTGATGTGGTGGTCTGGGGTCATGACCCCATTCTTGATGTGGTGGTCTGGGGTCATGACCCCATTCTTGATGTGGTGGTCTGGGGTCATGACCCCATTCTTGATGTGGTGGTCTGGGGTCATGACCCCATTCTTGATGTGGTGGTCTGGGGTCATGACCCCATTCTTGATGTGGTGGTGTGGCTCATGAGCCTATTCTTGATTAAATTATACTGTGTTGACACTTATAGCTGGAACTGGAACCTGATTGGTTATTCAGGTCCATGTCTTCTGTCCAGGCCTCCAATTACTGTCGTGTCTACACTGACAAAGTGAAGGTGCCCTGACGTCCCCTCCCCATCTTGTGCAGGATTCGAACCCGGGTCTTTTTGCATGACAGGTAAGTGGATGATGTATTACGTCACCTCTTGTACCAGCCACCAAGTGATTGTCGCCCATCTGAATTTTGCATACCTATGACCTATGACTTGTGACCCTCGTCTTGATCTGAAACGTTGATCTCTGTCTTGACTTAACACATGTGCCTTCTGAACTTATTTTTCAATTAATAAGTTATATATGACGAAAATTTTCACCTTTCATAAAAATTATTAAGTTTCACACACACACAAAGAGCCAGAGCTCAACCCCCGCAAGCACAACTAGGTGAGTATACACACACACACACACACACACACACACACACACACACACACACACACACACACACACACACACACACACACATATATATAAATACACAATCATTAATTCCGTCCACACAAACATAGGAGTTCGCATATGTTTGTGCGCCTATAACACTAACAGATAATAGAACACACACTCCTGTCCTGTCCCAGCACCTGTATGATGTCCCAGCACCTGTATGATGTCCCAGCACCTGTATGATGTCCCAGCACCTGTATGATGTCCCAGCATCTGTATGATGTCCCAGCACCTGTATGATGTCCCAGCATATGTATGATGTCCCAGCACCTGTATGATGTCCCAGCATCTGTATGATGTCCCAGCACCTGTATGATGTCCCAGCACCTGTATGATGTCCCAGCACCTGTATGATGTCCCAGCATCTGTATGATGTCCCAGCACCTGTATGATGTCCCAGCATCTGTATGATGTCCCAGCACCTGTATGATGTCCCAGCACCTGTATGATGTCCCAGCACCTGTATGATGTCCCAGCACCTGTATGATGTCCCAGCACCTGTATGATGTCCCAGCACCTGTATGATGTCCCAGCACCTGCCTTCTGTAAGACTGACCAAAGTTACTACTGGCGGGAAGCGGAAATCCTTTGTGGCGCCTGGCAGGACCAGCCTCCAGGTCCTTCAGTGGGTCTGCCCCATCACTTGGTCTAACGACCCAGCGGGTTTTCTTCCTATTGGGGAGTGTTGTACATGCTGCTATGGCGGTGTGTCCACTCACAGGATGAGTGGCGCTGCCCAATACTGTCACTATGGCGATGTGTCCACTCACAGGATGAGTGGCGCTGCCCAATACTGTCACTATGGCGATGTGTCCACTCACAGGATGAGTGGCGCTGCCCAATACTGTCACTATGGCGGTGTGTCCACTCACAGGATGAATGACGCTGCCCAATACTGTCACTATGGTGGTGTGTTCACTCACAGGATGAGTGGCGCTGCCCAATACTGTCACTATGGCGGTGTGTCCACTCACAGGATGAGTGACGCTGACCAATACTGTCACTATGGCGGTGTGTCTACTCACAGGATGAGTGGCGCTGCCCAATACTGTCACTATGGCGGTGTGTCCACTCACAGGATGAGTGGCGCTGCCCAATACTGTCACTATGGCGGTGTGTCCACTCACAGGATGAGTGGCGCTGCCCAATACTGTCACTATGGCGGTGTGTCCACTCACAGGATGAGTGGCGCTGCCCAATACTGTCACTATGGCGGTGTGTCCACTCACAGGATGAGTGGCGCTGCCCAATACTGTCACTATGGCGGTGTGTCCACTCACAGGATGAGTGGCGCTGCCCAATACTGTCACTATGGCGGTGTGTCCACTCACAGGATGAGTGACGCTGCCCAATACTGTCACTATGGCGGTGTGTCCACTCACAGGATGAGTGGTGCTGCCCAATACTGTCACTATGGCGGTGTGTCCACTCACAGGATGAGTGGCGCTGCCCAATACTGACACTATGGCGGTGTGTCCACTCACAGGATGAGTGGCGCTGCCCAATACTGTCACTATGGCGGTGTGTCCACTCACAGGATGAGTGGCGCTGCCCAATACTGTCACTATGGCGGTGTGTCCACTCACAGGATGAGTGGCGCTGCCCAATACTGTCACTATGGCGGTGTGTCCACTCACAGGATGAGTGGCGCTGCCCAATACTGTCACTATGGCGGTGTGTCCACTCACAGGATGAGTGACGCTGCCCAATACTGTCACTATGGCGGTGTGTCCACTCACAGGATGAGTGGTGCTGCCCAATACTGTCACTATGGCGGTGTGTCCACTCACAGGATGAGTGGCGCTGCCCAATACTGTCACTATGGCGGTGTGTCCACTCACAGGATGAGTGGCGCTGCCCAATACTGTCACTATGGCGGTGTGTCCACTCACAGGATGAGTGACGCTGCCCAATACTGTCACTATGGCGGTGTGTCCACTCACAGGATGAGTGGCGCTGCCCAATACTGTCACTATGGCGGTGTGTCCACTCACAGGATGAGTGACGCTGCCCAATACTGTCACTATGGCGGTGTGTCCACTCACAGGATGAGTGACGCTGCCCAATACTGTCACTATGGCGGTGTGTCCACTCACAGGATGAGTGACGCTGCCCAATAAACTCGCCCCTCGGGGCAAAATTAAAAACAAAAACAAAATTAGTCTCCCACCTCACCCACAACAAACCCCCATGCGTCCCTAAGCGATCGGTCACCTTTACTAGCGAGCCCAGAATTTACTGGAAATGTGATCCAAACAAGAACAGATTAGACGTTGATGAACTGTCCAGGCGATCACTGGATAATTGAGACACTATACATGTACGTACTTATATGCGTGTGTGTGTGTTCACTTGTTATAGCGAAGTGTTCACTCTGTGAGTGTGGCTGGCGTTCACTCCCACGTCTAGGCTTGCCAGCTTCACGGTAAACACACAACATTCCCCAACATGTAAACAGCATTTCCTGGACATGTCCACGTATCCAGCGACCATACAGACACCACTATTGAACATTTATCATGCTGGCAAGTCACTATAATGCTCAGAGTATGATTAAAGCCGCGCGACGTAGAGCTAAACATTCACTCAGTCTCTTTCCAATGACAACAGACCCGCAAGCCTCATCCAGCCCGCACAACACAACACTGTTACCGCCGCCCCTACGTGATCCTCGCCGCCACACCTGCACGGGGGGCTTCCTGGCCAAGTCTGGGTCAAGGGGTCAACGCCTAATGCCATCTCCGTGGGCGTGGGCGTGGGCGGGGAGGGTGGGAGCGAGGGAGAGACCGTCAGGACTGGCCGCCACCCAGCCGTCCACAGCACAGGTTAGGTAGGCTGCTGAGGGCGTCGCGCACTGATCGATACTACCAGTCCTCGTCCGCCCTCCCTCCCCCACACGCTTGCTAGGATACCGCGCTCCCTACCTAGGACACGGCACCTCTTGCTAGGATACCGCACCCACTGGCTAGGATACCACGTCTCCTGACTAGGATATAGCACCCAATGGCTAGGATACCGCACCCACTGGCTAGCATACCACGTCTCCTGACTAGGATATAGCACCCACTGGCTAGGATACCGCGCTCCCTACCTAGGACACGGCACCTCTTGCTAGGATATAGCACCCACTGGCAAGGATACCACGTCCCCTAACTAGGATATAGCACCCACTGGCAAGGATACCACGTCCCCTAACTAGGATATAGCACCCACTGCTAGGATACCACGTCCCCTAACTTAGACACGGCACCTCTTGCTAGGATACCGCACCCACTGGCTAGGATACCACGTCTCCTGACTAGGATACCGCACCCACTGGCTAGGATACCACGTCTCCTGACTAGGATACCGCACCCACTGGCTAGGATACCGCGTCTCCTAACTAGGATATAGCGCCCATTGGCTAGGATACCACGTCTCCTAACTAGGATATAGCACCTACTAGCTAGGATACCCTGTTTCCCACCCAGGACATCACACGTACTTCCTAAGATATCATATGTTCATGCCAGGGACAAAGCGATCCTAAGATATCGCTTCTTCGCCTTAGTGTACCCAGCTCTCTATGAAAGACTACCGTACCGCCTTGCTAAGGCAGAGCACCGCTCCTGTGCCAGGTAAGTCTACTATGGGCTCACCATAGCCCGTGCTACTTGGAACTTGTTCCGAGTAGCTGAATCTATAACAACAACAACAGCATCCCACATAATCACAGGAGACATCTCCCGTCACGCAGGGTGCAGTCGCACCTCCACAGATCTCCAGTATCAGCTCTTGATACTGGTAATGGCTCAAAAGGGCCACCACTTACGGGCTATTCATGCCCGTGCCACCTTTTGGCTGGCTTAATCTTCATCAATCATCATCCCACATACTTACGGGCTCACCATAGCCCGTGCTACTGGAACTTCTTGTTCTAAGTAGCTGAATCTATAACAACAACATCCCACACACAGTATAGGCTTAACACATATATACATGTGTCTTCTTACTCAAGCTGCACTGAACACCGGAGGAACTCAACAGAAATACTAACATGTCAACACTCAACACTCGGATGACGCTGCAGTCCTCATGCAATCTGGCACATCTGTGTATTTTTAGCAATTGCTGACCCATTGCTCAACAATGATGAAAAACGCGAACTGTGGGAGCGACGGTAAACAGCCCAGACACCACCAGGTTGAACACTGCGCTGACTGACAGCTGGGACACCACCACCAGGTTGAACACTGCGCTGACTGACAGCTGGGACACCACCACCAGGTTGAACACTGCGCTGACTGACAGCTGGGACACCACCACCAGGTTGAACACTGCGCTGACTGACAGCTGGGACACCACCACCAGGTTGAACACTGCGCTGACTGACAGCTGGGACACCACCACCAGGTTGAACACTGCGCTGACTGACAGCTGGGACACCACCACCAGGTTGAACACTGCGCTGACTGACAGCTGGGACACCACCACCAGGTTGAGCACTGCGCTGACTGACAGCTGGGACACCACCACCAGGCTGAACACTGCGCTGACTGACAGCTGGGACACCACCACCAGGTTGAACACTGCGCTGACTGACAGCTGGGACACCACCACCAGGCTTCACTTTGGTGTTGAACTTTGAACCTCTGGAGGGTTATTAGGGCCGCCACAAGACCTCACTCACCAACCAGCAAGTATACTTTAGCCATGAATCTAGTCCAGGACTAAAGTAAACTCAGTATACATACATCTAGAAATGCATACATACATCTATAAGACCCGGTACACTTCTAGGCAAGCCATACTCCTGAAATGGCAGCACAGACAGTAACTATTTGAACCATAGTACCAATATACAGCATCGTGCACAGGCCGAAGAGCTGCAACCTTGCAAGACTTGAAGATGCACAGGCTTGAGAACTGAGACCTCGCAACAGCTGAGCCTCAGCTCAGCACCACTGGTCACCACCTCTTAAGCCCGGCCTTGTAGGGTCTAGTTCTCTTTAACATCTTAAAGTCTGGAGGAACGACTTGAGCCTTACCTTCTCAGACAAGACTTACTCAAGGGCTAATGAAGTGGTCACATTCAGTCTTTCCCCTCATGCGCCGTCTCAATATTATGTTTCTTAAGTCTTAAACAACGGCTGAGTTGTTCCTTGCCCCCGTTATTATTGTCCAGTACGTGACCAGCCCAGACTACCTGCTCACTAGGGGGTACTACCAGCCCAGACTACCTGCTCACTAGGGGGGTACTACCAGCCCAGACTACCTGCTCACTAGGGGGTACTACCAGCCCAGACTACCTGCTCACTAGGGGAAACTACCAGCCCAGACTACCTGCTCACTAGGGGGTACTACCAGCCCAGACTACCTGCTCACTAGGGGGGTACTACCAGCCCAGACTACCTGCTCACTAGGGGGTACTACCAGCCCAGACTACCTGCTCACTAGGGGAAACTACCAGCCCAGACTACCTGCTCACTAGGGGAAACTACCAGCCCAGACTACCTGCTCACTAGGGGGTACTACCAGCCCAGACTACCTGCTCACTAGGGGGGGTACTACCAGCCCTGACTACCTGCTCACTAGGGGGAACTACCAGCCCAGACTACCTGCTCACTAGGGGGTACTACCAGCCCCAGACTACCTGCTCACTAGGGGGTACTACCAGCCCAGACTACCTGCTCACTAGGGGGTACTACCAGCCCAGACTACTTGCTCACTAGGGGTACTACCAGCCCAGACTACCTGCTCACTAGGGGGTACTACCAGCCCAGACTACCTGCTCACTAGGGGGTACTACCAGCCCAGACTACCTGCTCACTAGGGGGTACTACCAGCCCAGACTACTTGCTCACTAGGGGGTACTACCAGCCCAGACTACCTGCTCACTAGGGGGTACTACCAGCCCCAGACTACCTGCTCACTAGGGGGTACTACCAGCCCAGACTACCTGCTCACTAGAGGAAACTACCAGCCCAGACTACCTGTCCACGAAGCCAGTCCTCATCAGTATCTCCACAAAAACTCATGAACCAGCAAACACCGTTCGACAAAGCTCTTTTTCTGACGATCAAAACCCATATATATCATTAGGTTAGGATGTGTTAGGATAGCTTAAATTAGGTTTAAAATGCGTTGAGGAACTGTGCTGTGAAGGATGTGGCTTGTATCCTACCCCCCACATGTAGGTCAGGCAGGAACCCCACAAACAAGGACCACTTCGATAAAGAGCAAGGCGAAATCTGCCGCCTTACACGGCAGTCGAAGTGACCCAATAAATCACCCTTGTCTTATGCGTCTCGAGTCCTATCTTCATAAGCTAATTACCGGAATAAACTGATTTACAGTGACATATAATATTCAAGCAATTAATCTCGTTATAAGCAAATTATATTCGTATCTTTCTAATGTAAATTATTGGCGATGTCATGTGTTCATTTGGGAGACATACGAGTGTAGTGTGTTTGTGTAGCCCATTGTGACACTTAGTGTTAGTTCCTACCAGACTTCGTCAATACGGACCGTGTCTCTTATTCCCCGCGCGCGTGTGTGTGTGTGTGTGTGTATGTGTGTGTGTGTGTGTGTGTGTGTTTACTAGTTGTGTTTTTACGGGGGTTGAGCTTTGCTCTTTCGGCCCGCCTCTCAACTGTCAATCAACTGTTTACTAACTACTTTTTTTTTTTTTTTTTTTTTTTTTTTTTTTTTTTTTTTTTTTTTTTTTTTCCCACACCACACACACACACACCCCAGGAAGCAGCCCGTGACAGCTGACTAACTCCCAGGTACCTATTTACTGCTAGGTAACAGGGGCACTTAGGGTGAAAGAAACTTTGCCCATTTGTTTCTGCCTCGTGCGGGAATCGAACCCGCGCCACAGAATTACGAGTCCTGCGCGCTATCCACCAGGCTACGAGGCCCCCTGTGTGTGTGTGTGTGTGTGTGTGTGTGTGTGTGTGTGTGTGTGTGTGTGTGTGTGTGCGAGCAGGTATGGAGAGTACAGGTGTGTGTGTGAAAGTCACCGGAGTAGTGGTTAGCGGTGGTCAAGGCTGCACTAAATTGCCGTTCTTGCGGTCCGGAGACAGGTGTTATCTTTCCTAGACACATGTTCAGCAACACACGTGTTCAGCCACACACGTGTTCGGCCACACACGTGTTCGGCCACACACGTGTTCAACCACACACCCGCTACGCCCCTCACCTTAGGTTACGAGTCAACACCCATTTACGCAGCTATTCACCAACCACTATACACCTTTTATCAGTCTTTGGCGGGTTTTGTTTACATATAATAAACTGTTTACCAGCCTCGACACTTATGAATTAGATGATGTTGTTGTAAACAGCCTCCTGGAGCTTCGAGGCTCATAGGCTGTTTAATATATGTAAATGGTTCACATATATGTAAATCGTGATTGAGAAAAGATGTACAGGTTCATAAGTTGATGCGTAGATGCTTCCTGAATCCTGGCCCGAGTCTACACACTTGGTCTACTGTATACCTGCTATATTGTACACCTGATTTAATGTACAAAACGATTTCTGTTCACGTGGTCTACTGTAGAGGAAGTTTACTGTACAGCTGGCATGCTACACAAATGGTATACCTCACACACACACACACACACACACACACACACACACACACACACACACACACACACACACACACACACACACACACACACACACACACACACACACACACACGTCTCCTGAAGCCCACATCAAAAGAATAACATCGGCGGCGTATGCGAGGCTGGCTAA